CACACACACACACACACACACACGCAGACACACACACACACACACATACATACACACACACACACACATGCACACACACACACACACAAACACACAGACACACACACACACATTTACAACTCCCAAACCTGCACATAATCTTGCTCACAAAGTATAGTGTAGCGGCAGAGGACAATGTTGAACAAATTTGTCTTTAAAACTAAAAAATTAAACGCTCTGATGTTTTGACATATTTATTTCTTTTAGGAGAAAAATCAAAATTTTGGAGGCATAAGGGAAACTAACGTGTAACAACCACAATACGTGTAACAACAACAACAATACGTGTAACAACAACAATACGTGTAACAACAACAATACGTGTAACAACAACAATACATGTAACAACAACAATACGTGTAACAACAACAAAATGAATGAATGACTGAATAAATGAAAGAATAGCAGATTGGTTGGGGGTTCTTTTTTGTTTTGTTTTTTCAAAGAAGCATATGACTCTATAACAGTCATTTCGTTCTATGGAAAAGTATGGCAGACAATTGAGACAGTGCAGATGAATAAATGAATGAATGGTAAGACATACAAGACAGCGAAAAAAATATGAGTAAACGAATGAAAGAAAGATAAAACGACTGAGACAGTGAATAAATATGAAAAAGAATTAATGAAAAACAAGGACCAACCTCCTCCCTAGAGCAGTTCTTGAACTGGCCCACCCTGAGCATGTGGTTGATGTATTCACAGATCTTGTTGTCAAACACAATGGCCTGGTTCTGGAAGTTTCCCTGGTGGAGAGAATAGTGTACGCTTGCTGGGGTAAGAATGATGAACAGAAAAGTGGAAAGAATAGTGTACGCTTGCTGGGGTAAGAATGATGAACAGAAAAGTGGAAAGAATAGTGTACGCTTGCTGGGGTAAGAATGATGTACAGAAAAGTGGAAAGAATAGCATACCCTTCTCTATCTTAGAATTACAAAGTTCTGTCGAACATTTTTTGACTGTTTTGAGTTACTAAGATCATGAGGTCAGAAAGCAAATGTTCTATCTTCTCTATCAAAATTGTAAAATTGTCCAAAGTTGATATCAAGGTATTTAGAGAATTGCTTTCGAAAAAGGTTGACTCTACGTGAAACTGAAAATCTTTGATGTTATACTTCTCAAACTAGGCCCAGAGCAAATAGGACGTTGTAACTCTGAGGTAGCGACTTGCTGGGGGTAAAAATGACTTAGTCCTACAGAAAGGTGGAAAGACATAGAAGAATCAGGTCAAGTTCAAGATGTTAGTCATAGATGGGGACAGGTGGAAAGTGTTTGTCAGTGGCCTTTTCCCTGATCCCAGGTGAGAAGGAATGATGATAGGAGATGACCAAGTTCGTTAGAGATCCAGAAGTCAATAAATTACCGTTGTTATCGTTGCCTGGTGTTTTTTGTCATTGACGACGATGAGAATGATGATGATGATGATGATGATGATGATGATGATGATGATGATGATGATGATGACGACGACAATGGAGAAGCCCATTAGAACAAACGTTAACATTTCTTATAAACTTATAAATATTCTAATACTCAATCTCTACCAACTTTTTGTCTTTTTCTTATCGTGCTTACAACAATGATGATGATGATGATGATGATGATGACAATGAAGATGATGATGGTGAAAATGGCCGTCATTGTAGTTGCTTCTGTGGTGGCGTGGCAACTGTTTTGGTAGTCGTTACTGTTTTTGTTGTTGCTACTATTGTAAACTGCTATTGTTGTTGTTGTTGTTGTTGTTGTTGTTGTTGTTATCGATCCAGCAACAGCTGGGCTCTCGTCCTTCTGTCCAATGCCATGTAGTGATAAGTGCAGGTTTGCTGCAGTTGCTGTAATGCTCCATAGAGTGTGTTGTCAATGTTAGGTCTCCGAGATTGTTTTTGTTATAATTGTGGATGGTTGGTAGGCACTCTGGTGTGGTTTGCTCCTACTTTTCTTCATTCAAACATCTATCATCCTAGTCGCTCCCTCTTCTTTCCTTTGTATGTTACTCTCATGTAACGCCCCTATTCTCTGACACTTTTATGACCCAATAGCATTGTTCATTTTTCAAAACTTTTACTAAAGCAACATTAAACTTGTTGTGGTTGTCTTAACTCTTTCAC